CACCAGCGGCGGGCGGCCATGAGCCCGGGCCAGGGTCGGGGCTCGGGGCTCCTCTCGCTTGGCCCGGCCCGGCCGCAGTGCGGGCGCGGGAAGAGTTGCGGCGCTTCCCCCGGCCCCCCTCAGCAGCGCTTGTGCCCGTCCCGGTCGCGGGCGGGAGCAGCTGCGGGCCGGGTCGCCTCCTTGGCAGCCGGGCAGGGCACGCACGTTTGCTGCGCGGAGGCTCCGTGGTGTCGCCTGTCCGGGGCGGGGGCTGTGCTGTGGTGCAGGGGTGAACCCTACCCCCTCTTCCCCAGGGCCCCGAGCCCGCCCCGGCACAAGGACCCGCGCGTCCTTCAGGGGAGCTGAGCCCCCGCATGCGGCGGCCGCGGGCAGACTAGGTGCCAGTAGGGACTGGAGGGAGGACGGGGGCAGTAGTGGCTGTTGAGCATGGGAGTGAGGGATATGGCCTCTGAATCCAGACTTCCCGGACCCAAAATGTGGGGTGCTGCCAGGGGAAATGGACCGACCCAGGTCATGCTCAGCTCGCACCCCCCACATCCGCACTCTGCCGGACCCGGGGTCTGGGCTGGCCCGCTCGTGTTCTTGCGCACTGCCAGGTGCTGAGCTTTTGTCAACACCCTTTAGCCCCCAGCTGGATTTGAGGGTTTCAGTGATTTTAGCTGATGGCTACGGTGAAAGCATTTGACCTAACACCTTCCTTCCCTGCTGTAACCCCTGGGAGGGGAGAGTGCTGTAGGTCTGGGAGGGCTTCTTTTGGGCCTTCCTGTGCCTTTCCGTCAAACTTTCCAAGCTAAGCAATTATTTGCTGCAGTGAACTGACTGCAAGGTAGTTTAAAAGTAAAGTGTGGGAAACTTACTATTCTGTTACATGAGCCCTGGCTCTTCCCACATAGGTAAAACAAATTGGAGTTGCTTAAACTTACTGAAGAGTGAGTCTTGGTGGCACCAGGCACCAGCAAGTTGTGTTTTAAACTGGAACAGAGCATGGAAAATAGTGTGTTTAGTCACTCAGGACTGTATTTTGCCATCAACCTTTTAAGCAGCGTCGACAAGGAATTCTGCCTGAAATGGATGGCATGATATGGCCCTTTGGGAGGATACTGGCAAATAAGCAAATTAAACGGAAAGAGAGCATCATGTTGTCATAGCAACAGTTCAATTAAATTATGTTACTGTCAGCCATGATATAATTTTCCTGTTTAGAGCTCATGGGACATAACTTCTGTTTGGAGCCAAAGTTGAGTTTGCAGCAGAGGTAAACGGTGCCCAGTGCTTCCATGTGAAGTAATACTCCTGTTTATCTTCCAGATAAGTGTCTAGGAAGTACTGTTCTAGGAAGGAAGAATTATAAATTGTATTGGTTAAGCATTTCGTTGGTGATTATTTTTTTTCCCCTCCTCCAGATCTTTGTCTTTTTTCTGGATATAATAATGACTATTCATGGATCTTGTTAGTGTTTTTATTGTATACTAGATATTTTACTGCATGAAAGTGGCGTACCTCAGTTTCTGGACTTTTTAATTTTGTTTTTATTTCCCTTGCCGACTAATGCTTTGATATGTATGAAAACTGAATGTTTTTCCCTTCTTCCTTCCCTGCTTTCTTGCTTGCTTTCTTTTCTGTAGATTGCTTTACTCTTCGGCTGTTGTTTATAACCCTCCTGTTTAAATAACACAGACTATTTATCTGACCAAACTTCTAATCTTTCCAAGTCCTCTGGAATATTATTGATCTCTCATTTCCTGTAGGGCCCCCTGGTGAAGTATCTTCAGCAGTGCTGTCACTGAACTTCTCCTAAAGGTGTGGGGGCCAATTGTGTTGGCAGGTATACCAAAAATTAACCCAAGTGCCACTCCAGTTCCTTTGCCCTCCCCAGTCTGCTTTCTGCTCCCTGTTATGTGCTCCTTGCACAGTTTGCTGTTTTGCTTTCTGCTTCCTGTCCTATCTACCATTGTGCTGCCTGCTCCTCCCTGTCTTAGGGCACTGATTTTAAATATATAAGTGTTATAAGACTCCTACATCCTGATTTCTCCCATGTTCCAACGTATGTTAGAATCCTCTCTGTTTATGTGTACTTTTAAGTTTCCTGTTTTGTTTTGTTTTTTGGCATTCAGCTTGACCCTTGCTGGACCCTTCCATTTCCGTTCAAAAAGTTCTGTTCAAAAACCTTGTGGAGATTGGTGGTAATTGTGACTATACTTAAATTTACTGTTTGCCTGGCTGTGCCTTCAACCACAGACAGAGTGATTTAATCATAGTGCTGTTGTGTTGTCTTCAAAATTGAAGCAGCTGGACTTAATCTGAAGCAACTGGCCTTTAGGCTCCCTATGTTTTTTTTAAATTTTATATATTTATTAATATGATACAAGTGCAGTGTTTCATGATGACTTGATTCTCATATTATCTTGAAAGAGATTTGTGTTTTGGGTTACCTGCGTGCAATTTAGGAAGTATGCAGAATGGGACATATTGGGATTATTGAAGCATCCCATTGACTAAAATGTTCTTTGTTTTTTCTGACTCTTAAATGATTTTTCTTCGCATTGTGAATTGTGCCCCTGTCATTTTTTTTTACTTTTATTTTTTTTATGTAGGGCATGAAAGGCCAAATTACTGGCTGGGTAAAAGCTGTCAAAATGTTGTTATAGTGTATCTGACTTGCTAACTAACTTTTTTTTCTTTTTTTTTTTTTTCTTGTCATCCTGTTTTGGATCTACTAGGAGCTTCTGTCTAAATGGGTCCAGTCATGCCTCCCAGTAAGAAGCCAGAGGGCTCGGGAATTAGTGTTTCCAGCGGACTGAGTCAGTGTTATCAGGATAGTGATTTATCAAAGGCACTTCCTGAAGAGGAGGACCTAGATCTTACTTTGCCTGCCATAAGATTAGATAAAGCGGCCATGGAGGATGAAGAACTAACTAACTTGAACTGGTTACATGAAAGCAAGAACTTGCTGAAAAGCTTTGGGGACTCTGTCTTAAGAAGCGTTAGCCCAGTTCAGGACATTGATGATGACACGCCACCATCTCCTGCTCACTCTGACATGCCCTATGATGCCAAGCAGAACCCAAACTGCAAACCTCCTTATTCCTTTAGCTGCCTCATATTTATGGCCATTGAGGACTCGCCAACCAAAAGACTGCCTGTAAAGGATATATACAACTGGATCCTAGAACACTTTCCCTATTTTGCAAATGCACCTACTGGATGGAAAAACTCTGTGAGACATAATCTATCATTAAATAAGTGTTTTAAGAAAGTGGACAAGGACAGAAGTCAGGTAAGCTTGGAATATTCAGACCTACCTGTTCTTAATAAAATCTGCCTGCTAATCCTAACATGTATTCCTGATTGTACTGTAAACTGCATTTTACTGTCCAGTAATTTCAGTTCATTACAGAAAAAAAACCAAACAAACCAGCGTTAGGATGACTTTATTAAAATTATCATCTAGACATCTGTAAGTAAGTACTTTAGTTGGTTGGTTTTTGTTGTTTTGGTTTTTTTCTTTTCAGCTGGTGTCTTCATGCATAGTGGTTAAATATTGTTTTTAGTTATCATGCTGTGCTAATGGTTTCCAGCTATAGTAGATGAATGTAATCATTATAAATAGGTTGCATGCTGTTTTTGGCTTATAAAAATGTATAGTGAGAAGTTTGCTTTATGTAAGATTCCATCTATTCCCCTTTCCTCACTCTCCTTCCCCCTGCTTCCCCCCATTTGAGTTGTTATTTGATGAAACTCTATAAGAGGTTAGAAGTAGTTCTAACTTTTGGTGATGAAGTGATGGTACTTTCTTACTTACTGTGCCTTTTAGATGAAGGTAGACAGTTCAGGAGTGGCTCCGTTATTAAAGGAGATACAGTTTGGCAGCTGCAAATGACTATTGGAAGTTAAACTGTACTTGTTTTATGCCTATGCAGACTCTGACCTCCACAAGGTGGTGGAGATTTGGAGAACAAATTTTTGCTCCCAGGTCTTCTCTATTGTTACATTCTTTGGTTGCAAAGAATTCTTTGAATCTTCAGCTGTATCTGAAGGGGTGTGTGTGAGGGTGACAGGAAAGGAAAATGAACAGAATCCTGGTGGCATTACTATTTCCTGGTATCACTTATTGCACAAATCTGTCCATTATGGGGAGCAGTTGTTGATTTCCAAATGGCGACAGCCTTCAAATGCAATAAGTTTGAACTCTTGTCAAAGGTGCTGCTGTATGAATTGGCAGGCTGATGTCTCTCCAGTTTACTCTCACTCTGTGTTGCCACAATAAATAGCAGTGAAATAACTTCACTTAAATGTGTTTTCATATACATAAAGCTAATAGAAAATCTAGAAGGTGCACCCGCTCCTCTGTTTGAAGCAAAGAAAATATATTTAGCTTTGTTCCTCATTTGGTTTTCTATATGCTGTGATTACAGCTCAACAGACTAGACTCTTGCTGGTGTGTGTTAACTTTTTTCACAGTATTCATAACAACTCTAAAGTAGAATAAGTTATGTTTTGCAGGAGCTGATGGCTCCCTATCTAACTTTTGTGGATTTTATTCTCAGTCTGACTTTCAGATGGGGTATAATCTACCATTTGTAGCTAGGCACAATCACAATGTATACCTAAGGTTAACACTGTTTCTGAACTGCATTATTTAACTTAATAAATTGGGGTTGGAACTTCACATTCAGATAGATATAAAACAGAGGAAGTGTCACACATGTTATAACCTGTAAATCATATCATAGACCATAGAATGTCTAACGAAATAGATTTAGATGCAAAATGTATTGGAACTGATGAGTTGTGCTTAACTCTTCCATTGTTCCTTTTTCCCCATTCTGTTCTTCATCTGTTTATGAGTTGATGATTTTAATAATTACTTCCTTGCCAAAAGGAGCTTTCTTTTATGTATGTCTGTCTTCATGGTAATTGCTTGTCTTGTCCCAGAAGTAATCATCGTTTGAAAATAGAGAAGCTGAGGTTCCTCTTGCACGATGCCTGACTCTATAGTTGCCTACATTTCAGTGCTTGTGATCATAGAGGGCAGTTCCATATGTAGTAAGGTATGTGGTGTTGTTCAGTTGTCTTGTTTCATAAATTTTGGCAACTAGATTTTGATCTTTTGAGAAACTGAGATATCTAGGAGCTATATAGCTCTGTCTTGCTCCTTTCTGGTCTCTGAGCTCTTAAAAATGCTAGCTGCCCTGCTGGTAATGAATAGTAATGTTATGGAGTTTCCACTGTCCATTTTAAAATGTATGCTGAGTAAGGTTATGTAAGTACCCTTCTGGGTTTCTCTCCTCTACCCTAGGGCAAGGGATTTGGCAGCTTGGGACCTGCAGACTTGGCACTCATTAATTACAACTTCTGACTGAACTGCTTTGTCACTTAATTGTAAATGCGGTAAACAATAGGCTTTACCTGTTAACCTTTCCAAATAAGGAGTTTCAGAGTTGGGTGGAGTGTCTTAAAACAGGTCTTTGACTGTCTTGCAAAGACTGTTTAAAATGCAAATCATTATTACAGAAGAAATCCTTGTTTTAGAATCTGAAAACTCCCCTTAAGTGTTGTTATGACCCAGGACAATGCTTTTTAGTTTGTGGTGAAGCACTTTCTGTGTTTGAGTTTGTATTTGTGTGTGTAAAAGTAGTTTAGTTTAGCAAATGGCACATCCTGAAATGTTAACAAGGCAGGCTCCAAAACATGCAGAGTGTATGGTGGGGTTTTTTTAATCAGCTTGGGGAATTGCAGGCATTTGCTAGTTGATGTGTGTTGACACATTGTGAACAGCTAGAAGCTTTTTCTCTCATGGCCATATTTCCAATGTTTATGTTTATACAGTCTCTCAATAACTGTTTTTTTTTTTTTAAGAAAAAAGTTCTGTGGAGCAGTTAATTCTTCTCTTGAATCCTTTTGGAATATTAGCTTGCAAAGTCTTGGCCTCTGTCACTTTTTATATTGATGTGACTAGAGATGTGGTGTTGCAAGGAAGGACAAAGTAAAGGGTCATCTTAATTGTGTCACCTGGCTGACAACTTGACTGAGTTCTGTAGCTGGGTGGGTGTCTGACGGCTGTTACTGCTGTCTTGTGTTCTTTCTAAGCTTTTTTGTTAGCTCTTAGGTTATTTAGCATAGTGCCATTGGTTAAGCATTTGGCAAGTAGCCATATAGATCCCTGCTTAAAAGGTAGTTATAATGATGTATATCTGCAACAAAAGAACACGTGGATTTCAGGGATAGAATGAGAGTGGGATACTTGAAGGTGTGTGCATATCAGACCTTTTATAACTTGCAAATGCCTCAGGTTGCTAAGTGTTGGTATGGCGCTTACTCCTCCTTCAGTCAGAATCCTGTGTTTTCCAGAGGGGAACTTGCCATGAGTAGAACTGGTCAACATGATTTTATTTTTTGGCAGATTTCACAGTATCTTTTACTGCTGTTATATCCTAGACAAGAGCTCCTCCAGATTGTCTCTAACTTCATATGTTCAAGGTACAGGCTGCTCCTGTGATCCCTTTTTATTGTGGAGACTTGACTGCTTAAAATAATACCATGTGAACTGGACCAACAGGAGCAGTTTGTCTGAACCTTTCAATTCTGTGGCTTGTTTTTAGGAATACATATGTTGTATTTATTTGTCCACAGCTGCTTGTGTGTGTATAAGAGCCTGTATTTACTTTTCATGCCATGTGCCCTGTATAACAGGAAGAAGGATCTATAGGCTGCATCACTGAAACTTTGAAAGGATGCACATTTGCAGGTTTTGGTATGATTGCATGCAGGTTTTGAGTGGTGGGAAAGGACCTTTATCTGCTATAGTACAAAGACTTGTTCAGACACTGCTGTTACTCCATGATAGCTGTGTGCTGATGGTGTGACACATTGTTAATCTTACTAATAAATTCTTTTTAGATCAATACAAGTCAGAATTAAAAGATATTTTTTTCTAGGATGCTGACCATTTGGAGAGAGGGTGAGGTGTCTCAGAGGGAAATGCAGAGTACTTCATAGGAGAGAACCTCTTTTGAGCTTAGTTTAATAATGGTCAGCATATAACATGTCACATGGTCCTAAGTGCAGGAGTTACCTGGCTCAGTTTCTGCTGCCAGACCTGTGAATTCAGTGGTCAGAGTAATCCCATTGTGAACACACAGATTTAAATGGCCTCTAGTGTATGTCCCATTTAGTACAACCCACTAGCCCATGACTTTTCTGACTTCCCCACCATCTGGTCCTTGGCTATAGAGAGGAATTTTTCTTGTATATGCATCTCCATAGCAACAAGTTTGCAGTTGATATGGAAAGTAAGCAGTTGCCTTAGCAACAGAGTTACTGATGTGGCAGCTCCTCTGCTTTCAGGGAGAGGGCTAAGCTAGTTCAGATGCGTTAGGTAGGTTTGCTGTAATGATAGCTGTGCCCACTAGGCTGCCGTCTTAAGGGAGCATTTTTGTCAACTTTTTGTTGCTGTAACCCCTATTTTTCAGGGATTTCCATGCTGGTCATAGGTACTTGCACTTTGAAAAAAGGCAAGACAAAATCTTAGCTGCAGAGCTTGCGATTCCTGTGTGCTTACTACAAACACAAGCTTGCTTCATTATTGCTGACAGGTATATGGGAAATATGTTTATTACATTAGGGGTTTTGTTTTTAATCCTCCAGTCTCAGGTGATGGGAGTTGCTCACTAATCCCAGTGATGTTGATCATCAAACCAATCATGCCTGTACTCCACTCTGCTACTGATATGTCCTCCTTTCTATCTCTTCTGCTTCCTTGAGTGCTCATCCTAGCAGCAGGTCTCCTCTGTAGATTGGCTGTGTGAGAATGGGGAAGTGCATGGTAAACCTGAGGTGGGGAGAGGATGTTTGCAGTGCCAGGAGATGTCTTCAAATTCAAGAGCCTTGGGTGTTTACTTTTTAGCTAGGTACAGGCATTTAGAAAGCCTGAGGCAGAATTGATTTAAATTGCGCAGTTGTCTGTAAGCAGTGTAGTTTAGTTTAAATTAGTAGCAAACAGATGAAACATTCGTTCTTTGGGGGGACAAATCTTAGACTGGATTCTGCCATTTTTAAACCAGTCTGTGTGCCGAACTTCTGTTCTGTTCTGTTTTCTGTTCACGTATACTGGTAAAAGTGTAATGTCTGTACCTCGCCCTTGGCTGATACTGAGAGGTCATGTGGGGAGAGGAGGAGCAGGCCTACACGTCAGGACAAGCGAATGTCATGCCCATCTGCTGTAGAGTTTATTCAAAGGCATATTCCCATAACAAGTTATAAACATTAAACTGAGAT